AGTAAAAACTTCAGGAAAACTTCCAATTTCAAGCTGCGTAATGCAGCTACAATGATTACAAAGAACTGCAAGGCAAGGTAGCTGCAATCTGTAATCTGGTATGACAAGTTCTGAACTGGTGGGTAGAGGTTGACTTCATTTTCATCAGCCACCCAGAGATCTGAGTAATTCTTCAGGAATTCCATTGGCTTCAGCAAATCAATATTGTGAAATGCTTCTTATTTTGTGCAGTGTTTATCATACTTACAGAGTATGATAATTAGAGTGCCAACAATTTAATCTGGGAATATAAACTAACACGAGCGTTTCATGTCTCCCTGTTCTACGTGCCTTACAAAAGAAGACAGAAAAGCATACAAGCCAATTGAAATACTACAGATGAGAGACATTTTATCTTTCTAAACATAATACCAGATACCTGACCTGTAGATTTGATAGCATTCAAAATTCCTTACCCTTACAATCACTTGGTTACACAAATTCAGGACCTTTGCAAGAAGTAAGGCATTTTAGAAAATACAACCTTTTTTCCATGACAGATAACACATTCGATATTTTAAATATTTAGATAATCCAGATCAAATATTAGCCAGGCAGTTTAGTACAAGGCACTTTCAAATATGAGGTTCTGTGGGTTAAAACTTGCACTTTTCCTTGGCATTGAAGTTTGCAGATAGTTTTTACCTTAGCATCAACACTGAATGTCCTAGTGCCCTTTTCCCATCATTCTTCAGAGCATGTGTTATAATACTTTATAATCATCCAAAACTCCATCACTAACTTTATTTGAATGATGCTAGTGTGCATGCTATTTTAATACAACTTTTAGCTATCCTTTTGGGAAAAGGACAGCATGAAAATGAAAGAGGTCATCTCTTTAGGAATACTGTAGTTGCCAACAGAAAAAGAAAAATACTTTACAGAAACCCTGAAAATTTATGGATTTTTAAAAATCTCATTTAAGAAGTTACATATTTAACTTACTGCTGTTGCTCAATGAAAATAAAAAGAATTCTTGTAGAAAATACTTGCCCCAAAATGAGACAGTTGAACAGAAAGAGTTGTGTGTCTATGAATTATAGTTCCGGCCTGCTTATACTCTGCCTTAAAGCTGTGTATTCTTTCTCTGTACTTGTGCAATGCAATTATATTAGAAGGCCCTCTTAAAACTTGGTGATCTATTGGTTTAGGGAGCTAAAGATTAATTCCAGATGTAGTCATGCTCTTCTAGCCCTTCAAAAAGTAACTACTGCACCATCTGTTTTATAATAGACAATTTCAAAGAGTGCCAAGGGGAATGTTAAATACATTGGTCAAATGGCCACATATACCTCACACACAGGAATCTTAGAGGTCATAGTGCCTCAGACAGATTCATATTTTCACGTTTTTCTCTCCATTGCTCCACCATGGAAACTCAAGGAACAGCCCTCCTTCCTCCCAAAATAGGAAGGAGATATCTTCCAGATTATTACCAGTGTTGACATGTATGAGGGCAAATTCAGACCTGAATTCAGTGGAATGGCTCGAATTCATATACCTGCCTGAATCTTGGATCCTTGTAGATTATTCCAAACAGTTCTGGGTTTTGGGTTTTGTTTCGGTTTTTGTTTTGTGGTGTTTTTTTTTCCAAATGAGGTCAGTAGCTGGAGGTTCCTGCTAAACTGATTTCAGACTTGGCTGGTTGCCCAAGACAAATGAAGGGTGCAAAAGGTAATGAAGGCTTAGTCCAGGTCATGAATGATAATTTTTATTTTTCCTGAGTATTTCAGGAAGCTTGAAATCAAGAAATTGTCTCTGTTTTTTCTAAATCCAGCATTATGCATCAATATCTACATCTCGTATGTATAACAAGATGCACTCAGGTTAGCATCAACATGACCTAAATTCTTTACATCAGCAAAACTGGAGTAAAAAACATTCTCTGAACGTTTCCCAAGTATAAATCTGAACTTCAGAGCAGTAACTCATGATTTATACCAAACAGTCCTGAGAAAAGGTCTAAAATGAAAACAAAAGGAAACAGAAAATCTGCTAGAAATTAGACAATCACAATCTTGTGCAGTCCTGGAGAGACTTTTTCTTTCCTGCGGTGACATTAGGTAAATCATTGGTAAAAAGAATTAAAGATTAACAACATGTCTTCAGTTCATTCCTCTTTGGTTTTTCCAGTGCATCCAGTCATATTTTATACCAATTCTTGTAATAAGTTATTAGAAAAGTATTTTAGGACTAGCAGACTACTGCACCCCCTTCAGTTTTGCTGACTTTGCTGTGGTTCTCTCCATTCAACATCAGAGGCAGAATCAGTGCCTTAGACTGTAAGCTTAGTGTCTGTGTGTATACTCCAACTATGCCTCAAAGTTCAAAGTCTGCTGCTGGTAAGTAAGAAAGAAATTAATAGGAATAACAGCTCCTTACCATTATCTAGTATTACTAGAACTGAACTTTTCTTAAGCATCTGCCAGTTTGGGTAGTGTAAGGGAACTCCACACATACAGTAAGATTTGCACTTTTTCAGTATTAAACATTATTATAACAAAGAAAAGTTGGAAAGCGGAATAGGACACTGTTTTGGACAACTTCACCACAGCTTTTGAAATTAAAGACATCTGAAAGGAATACACTCTGAGAGGCTAATAAACATATTGGAAGGATACATACACACCTTACAGCTACAGCAAAGGCCCCATTGTTTAGGACAAGATTTAATTCAAAATAATAGACTCAATAATAATAATAAAACTCATTCATGCTAATCAGGAAGTGTAGCTGTCCCACCTCTTGCTGAGCTGATGTTCCTGGAAGATAAGACCTCCAGAATAAAGAGGTATTTAGGGAAAACTTTGTTTTAGACATTTTTTATTACACCTCAGCTTAATTCCTGTTTTTGCTTAAGAACTTTTAAATACTTCTTATCTGTTTTAAAACGTAGTTAATAGATTATAAGAGTCACAAACACTACTCTATTCCTGTGCTTTCTAGGCACAAATTCTGCCTTTAACTAAGTCATACAATGCAGGGCTGATCTATCTTTTGAAAAATACTCAAAAATTGGCTTAGTTGAGACATTTGGTGGAGCTCAAAGAGAGAAAATTCAGAAATTAACTCTTCTCTCCTTATTCCATAGTTGTCCTAACTCTAAACTCAACCCTAAATGTACAGATAAATACTTCAAAGCTCACTGTTTTCTGGGCTGACAGGCTAATTTTCTGCAGCTGAGCCCAGCATTCCTCCACTTCACTGTAAACACCTGTAGTACATCTCTTCCATGGGAAAAATGTGCCAGCCATTTGCTAGCTACTGGCTGGGTCATACATACCATGTCAAACTGATCTATTTCATTTAAGATATATAGATCCAAAATTACACAGCCCAGAGAAAAAAGAAAGCAATTATTTCATTCACTTGACACATGCTGTCTTCAGGAAAGTTCAATTTGTAACAGTAGTTAATAATTCATAAAAGAATACAGTTTTTAAAAGTAACTTATTTGTTCAGCACAGCAGAAAATTAAGACACAATATATGAACTGGTACAATATACATGCTCCGCAGAAACAACTGTATTTCTATCACAAATTTTTTGGAAAACGTTATCGCTTTTACTTTCATTGCATTTGTACCCCAGAGGCAAAAATTATTACACAGAAAGATCTGTTTCCTTTCTCAGCCATCTTCTGTAGTTATTTGAGGGCTTTTTTTTTTTTTTTTTTTTACTGTGTTGCATCCAGCAAGGATGGATGGTCATGTCCAGAGAAGGACAATGAAGCTGGTGAACAGACAGGAGCACAAGTCATATGGGGAGTAGCTGAGGGAGCTAGGGGTATTTAACCTGGAGAAAAGGAGGCTCAGGGGTGACCTTATTGTTCTCTACAACCACCTGAAAGGACATTGTAGCCAGGTGGGGATTAGTCTGTTCTCCCAGCTAACAAGCGACAGGACAAGAGGAAATGGCCCCAAATTGTGCCGGGGAGGTTTAGACATAAGGAAAAATTTCTTCGCTAAAAGAGCAGTCAAGCATTGGAACAGTCTGCTCGGTGAAGTGGTAGAATCATCATCCCTGCAAGGGTTCAGAAAACGTGTGAATGTGGCACGCAGGGATACAGACCAGTGGTGAACACAGTGGTGATGAGTTAACTGTTGGACTCCATGTAATCTTAGAGGTCTTTTCAAACTTTAACTATTCTATGATTCCATGACCACCAGCCCAAATAACAATTACCAACCACAAACCCTGTGTCACTGATAATGACTGCAGAATTCCCCCTGACTGGATGAGCTCCTCCATTATCGTTGTGAGGTTAGAGGTGTCACTAGACAAACACTAGAGAAACAACTCTGGCCACCTACTGGTGGACCAACTGCTGTGTGTGTCTCGGCAGCATGCCACTGTCCCTTCCTGGTGAGAGCCAACAGTCATCCAGCATCTGTCCTTCCACAGAATCACAGAATATTCGGAGATGAAAAGGACCCACAGGGATCCTTGAGTCCTACTCTTAAGCCAATGGCCCCTACGGGGATCGAACCCAGGACCCTGGTGTTATCAGCACCACGCTGTCTCTGAAGGCAGAGGTGCAGTTGTGCCCCGGGACGCCCAGGGAATCGCCACGCTGGAATAGGCCCTAACCCTGAAATCCCGTGCCAGCACTATGACGGATCCACAGCTTTCACACGCGCTATACACCTGCCACGTGCGTTTAGTGGGTGTTTAACACGTGCAAGGCCGTGGACGTGCAATATTTGCAATCAAATCGGAATCCCGATGCGCGCGGGGGGTCCGAGTCCATCATCCGAAAATCCGGCTCGTAAAGTGCTGTCCCCAAAACCGTAACCTGAATCTGGGGGCAAAGCCGCGACCTCTCACCACCCCCCGTCTCCCATCTCCGCCAGCCTCCCGCGCAGGCCGGGATCCGACCACGAAGCCAGGCCGAGCGCAGCCGAGCCTTGCTGACAGGAGCGGGGCCTTGGCGATCCCGGACAGGCCGCGGGGGGCGGGCCGGGCCCGGCGCAGGCGCCGCCGGAGGCTCGCGGCGGAGGGCAGCTGGGCCTGGGACGGCGGCTCCATGCGCTGCCAGGTAGGTGCGACCTGCTGGAGCCCCCGGCGAGCGGCGGCCTGGCCGGAGCCGGGAAGGGCGGCGGGGCTCCCGCGGCCCCTCGGCCCGGCGGGCAGCGGCGCCGGACGGGAGAGGCCTGGGCGGGGGAGCGGGGCGCGGGTCCGCGGACACTCACCGCCCCCCCGCCTTCCCTTGCCCCCCGCCTGTCCCCGCTCTCCGGACGGCCGGGGCAGGAGGTCGGCACCCAGAAGAGCCTGGGAAAGCTTTTCCTGGCGCTCTGGTTCCGGTCGTGTGTTGGTGGTTTTTTTGGGGGGAGGCCCCGCGCTCTGAGCCCTGTCTGTTCCCCGAGCAGGTCTCGGTGCTGTATTTCGCCCGGAGCGCGGAGCTGGCGGGGCTGCGCAGCGAGACCCTCTCGGTGCCACGGCAGATCACCTCTCTACAGCTCTGGGAGGAGATCGTCAAGGCCCACCCCAGGTACCCAGCAAGTTACCAATGAGGTGCACAAAACCCGTGGTTGGATATCTTTTCTTTTCTTTTTTTTTGGTAAATACAAATTCCGCGTTTAGAGTCTAGTTGGAATGTGTAGCAGTACTTCGACAGTGCAAAACCAGTGATGTTACCTTCTTCTGGTAACCTGCACCAAGCTTTTCGTGTTTCGCACAGTCGGAAAGGCTGTAGCTTTATGTATATACAAGGAAAGCCCAGGTCCCAAAAGTAGATGTACCCAGAAGTTGAGCCTGAGTGGTACACGGGGCCCATTGTCCAGGAGAGCTGTGGTGCAGTAAGCTGAAAGCTGAACTATGTTATTAACCTATGGAGAAGGTGAGATGTCTCAAGGAGGGAACAAGCACAGCCAGGACAATAAATAAGAAATAAATGGTAGTGTGCAGGTGTTTTCAATCACTTAGGTTGGACATTAGGAAGAAATTATTCACAAAAGGGGCAATTAGATATTGGAGTGGGCTGCCATCCCTGGATGCATTTAAGGAAAGACTGGACATGGCACTCAGTGCCATGGTGTAATTGATATGGTGGTGTTAGGTCAAAAGTTGGACTTGATGTCATCTCAGAGGTCTTTTCCAACCTAACTGATTCTGTAATTATCTTTAACTGTACAGTTAGCCATTGTCTGATCTTATGGCACACTCTGGAAGAAAGATCAGGAAGGGAACTGAAGCCTGCACAGGCTTCTAGCCACTCAGCCCTGCCTGACACAGGAAGTAGATTCAGCCACTTTCAACCTTCTCTGTTTTGAAAGATACTGCTGTTGGTTGCATTTCACAGGGAGTCTGGTCCTGAGAGAGCTCTGTGTTTGTGCTGTAAGAGCTTCTGCAGCACTGGTGCTCCTTAGGGGTGTCAGCAGAAAAGTCACCTCATGTTAGGGCTGAGGAAAGGTGCTCAATTCTGACAAGAGTGAGTCTGATAGACAAAGATGCAACACCATTTTGAAAGGGTAGAAGGGGGTAAAAAAAAAAGTCAGGTTTAACAGGTTGAGGTCCTCAGGATTTAGTGCTGAATGCACTGGAATTTCAATAACTCTGGAATTAGATGTCAGGGCACAACTCTTCTTTAGTCGATTACTCTCAAAGGTTATGAAAACAATGAACTATTTAGCAAAGGTATTTGTTTCCAGGTGAGAAGCTCTAACAAAATGCTAGACCAGGGGCCTTTTCCTCACAGAGAACTGGGGTTAAATGTGTTTTGGGGGAGGAGACAGTGCAGGGCATGTGCTTATTTTACTTTGCAGCCTGTTCCTCTGTGTCAAAGGTATCAACAGCACCGTTGGTTGGTGTTCCATAGTTTGTCAACTTTGTCCTTTTATGAGTGATGACTTGGGGCAGTACACATCTTGCATTTGCAGTTACTTCACAGTGGCCTTCGTGAAAAACGCTTCTGTTCCTTGCTTTTATGGAAAAAATATAATTTTAGGGCATTGACCACAGACTTCTGTTCACATTGCTAATGGATATTCAAACTGCAGCTTTAGCATATTTGACAGTGCTCGTCTGTTCCACCCATTTTCCTCAATGAATTTGCTTAGAAGTGACACTAATTGTCACACTAATTAGAACCCATCCTTCTAATGGGCACTTCAATTTCATGGTATGCCAAGTTCTTCAGTGACTTTCATGCAGTCTCTTTCTTCAGTTTGCCCTCTGAGTCAGAGCTACTGTGTTTTGCTTAGTCTGTGCCTTGCCTACTTTGGTCTATCTGGCTGGTAGGAAATAAGATGATTTTTACTTGTACTCTTTTGGTGTGTCTACTTGTTTCTATGCAGTACAGCTCTGCTGGCTGTGCCAGATTTTGTAGTCCAAACAATAACAGTTATCATACCTGCACCATATAACGTAAAATGCTGGCATTCTTTTTCCTGGTGTCTTACTGCCATTGCCCTCATGCTTGCTGTGTAATTGCACTTAGCTTTGAAAGTGACTCCTTGTCTCACGATATCCAGAGCTGTGGACTCTCACAGCAACATCTCAAAGATGTGAAATCAAAAAATATTTAGAAGGTCTGCCAGAAGACGCATCACATTTGCCCTCTTACTTCTGCGGCCACTCCTTACCAACAGCAGATTTCAGACCTGTAAGTGCAAAAGACCCAAAGCTTCATGAAGTCTGAGCACACACAAAAAGAGCATCTCTTTGACCACTGAATCTTCATGAGATCTCACGAGCAGCACCCAGAATGCTTCTTGGTGTGTAAGAAAATTGCTCCAGTCCTTCGAGACTGTATCAGGGCAATATTTACTTCTAATCCCGAATTGTATGGTTGATACCTTTTGAGTTACTTCTTTATTATAAGCTGCTGCAGTGGGTCTGATATACATTGGTTCATTCTGATACAGGCCTATGACAAATCGAATTCCTGACTTTTGAAAATTATACTGAGTTTGTTTCTCCTTAGCCACTACAAGAAAACCAAAGAGTAGGAGATGGGTGTTTGTTGTGTTTTTTGACAGTGTCTAGGAAGCAAAGTTGCATAAGTCTCAGTGGTTTTTACCTCAGTTGCCCTAGACTGTGCACCAGTTGGTTGTTTAATGAAATCCGTGGTTAAATGTAAACACTCTATTTGTGCTCCTGCCAATCCCCCTCAGGCTTGCTGTCATCCAGGATCAAGTGGTTTTTGCTGTTCGGCAGGAATACGTGCTTCTTGGAGATCAGCTCCTGGTCCTTCAGCCTGGAGACGAGGTTGCCATCATCCCACCGATTAGTGGAGGCTGAACCTGCCCAGATTCTGTTGGGTAGGTATCTTGCTTAGTTTCTATGCTATAGAGCATAATCCTGTGCTAATATAATCTGAATTCTGTATGATGTTCCAACAATCCTTTTTTGTTTAGGTCCACAGATGTGATTGCTATTCTCTCCTTCCACCCCAGTACTGTTTTGAGAGAGCCTAATGTGTATTTCCATCTGGAGAGTACAGTTATGCTGACCAGAAACTACAAGCCAGTGCACCAGTAAATGATTAACACATATTCAGTAAATGGAAGACAATTGCCAGAGAGGTCGGGCATTGTTTTGAATTTGAGTTTTAGGTCTTGTTACTCCTTCCTTGTTGTTTCTGGCTACCAGTAGATACTTTGCTTGCCTAAATAAGATAATAATGAACAACCTTCTGCTGCTTTTTAACAGAAAAGATAATACAGCAAAATAACTGCTGTTTAAAAATTTTGTTTATTTTTTGCTGTTAAAGGAGCAGGTGTGCTTAGAATAGCTTAATTTCTTTGCCTGCTTTCAAGTGCCAGTCCTTGTGTTTACTGCAGCTTGTTCCATTGCTGCTTAAAATACTTCTCATTGTTCTCATTCTTAGGTGATCTGATGACTGGTTTCTACTCAGAAAAGTTAAAAGCGTCTCTGTTGTGACTGAAACGGATGGATACTGTGAGGTCCTGAATGTCCTGGAGAGCATATTCAACTTTAGGATTAGAAATCTAATCTGTGTTTATCAGAAATCTCTGTTTTTAAACTGTTTGATTTCAGGATAAGAAAAGTAGGAGGGGCTGCAATATCACTGAAGATTTACCAGCACTACACAGTGGTCCGTGCTGGTTGATTGTATTATTAAACCATGGCCTCAGACTAATTATAGTTTTGTCCCATTGTACCAGACTTTCCTGTCAGAAAGGAATATGTATACATTAAAAACCAGGTCATTGCTCAATATTTGCAGTTAATATTCTCTCTGTGAGACTGATGAGAAGTGAATTCGATGTGTAGACTGGTCTCTCAGGGAAATAGATGGTGCATGTTGTTTGCATAAATTAGATAAAAAGCAGTTGGCTGCTGCTAGTATCTTCAGAAACAACAACAGAGTCTGTTTGGTTTCAACCTTTTTAGTGAGATATGGATGAAACTGAAGATGTGCCAAAAGATTTTATCAAGCTCAAGTCTGCAAAGCTCTCTGTAGATGAGGTGTCAGAGCTGGTCGTTTCACCATACTGTGGGGCAGTGTCTCTGTTCATTGGTAAGTTTAATATTTATGAGCTGGATATTTGGGTGTGTTAATGGTCTAATAAATGGAATGTAGATTGTCCACATCCCAGACTTGTGCTTCTCAAATAAATCAATTCCTGGTCTGAATCCAGGAGGTTTAGAAAACATGTTCTGAATTATTAGAGCAAGACTATGGCAGCAGTTAAACAGTTGCACTGGGATTAAGTGGTGAGAAGCTTTCGGGTTGGTATAACTATCCAAGGACTGAATGGAGCGACAGCTCTGGAGTATAGAACTGCTTGGGAGGTATTTTCTCTATCCTCTTGGACACAGCTTGTTCAAGGTGGGAATAGAATATTGTGGCTATGCAAACACATGCCCACACCTGTATGTGAGGTCTCACAACTAAGGTCTTAGTTGAAAGTGGAGTACTGTTTTACCCATGAGCTGGTAAAGGTAAGGCTGATACCTGTGCTTAATGTGCATGGCACACATCTGAAACCCCTTTGTCCTTAAACTTTAGTGCTACTGGGCTTCTAAATACTGAGCATTTAAAAATTGCATGGGCAAATGCAATAATAATAGCACCTTAGCAGTTACCACAGAAGATGTCCCAGCTTTGAGCATTATGGACTCTGGACTTGTATAATGTGTAAACTAAATTATTCCTTTTATAGTAAAGATTTATCTTGTTCAAATAATCTCTTTATGCAGCCATATTTAAGGGAGATTGTTTATATTTGCGCAGTGCTGACCTTGACCATAGCAAGAGATCCTGGGTTTTACTCAATATTAATACATTATATGTTTTTATGTAATATGTATATAGTATATATTATAAATATACAGTATATATTTAGTAAGTGTGCAGAATTTATTTATTTATTTATTATTTATTTATTATTTAAGTACACTTTATTTGGTTGATAAATCATTTTTATTTAGGTACTACAAGAAATAATTTTGAAGGGAAAAAAGTGATTCACTTAGAATATGAAGCATATACTTCAATGGCAGAGACTGAAATAAAGAAAATCTGCAGAGATGTAAGACAGAAATGGCCTTCAGTCAAACATATTGCAGTGTACCATAGACTTGGGTATGTATGTCCAGACCACATCCTTCTGTAAGTGGAATATTAATCCTTGTCCGGTGCATGGACCTGCAGGAGTATTTAGAAACTATAATGCAGTGTGTATTGGTAGTGTTTGCTGGAGTGCCCATTTAGCCTTGCAGGATCCTTGATGCTGGTTTGATGTTTTAAAAGTGGGGAGAAGGGATTGTAATTTCACTCTGGAGAAGGGGAGGCTGTTGGTTTGTTTTGTCTTTATTTCTAAAAGATATGAAGTTTTCAGCACTTTCTTTTTATTCTCTCTTCTATGGAGATGCTGCAGAAGGTCCTTGTCAGATTTAAGTCAATTTATGCTATAAAAAAATCTGCAAGCTTGGGCTATGGGGAGTGAAGAGACACAGTAATTGCCAGACATGCTTGCAGGAGAACCTCCTGTTTTTGAGTCTTGGATAAGCATTTTCCCTTAGGTTCAAACATGGAATGCTAGTATCTGACATTCTCTTGAGCCTTCCCTATTTATCAGGTTTCTCACTGAAATTAGTAGGACTTGCAGAGTCTGAAGGAACATTGGAGGTGATTGCAAAGGGTAAGATAGTAGGTCTGAAGGGTAGTTTCCTTAGATTTCCTCTATAGCCAATGGAGAGAGTGGCTCTCTTGAGGGCAGCTCAAAGCATTTAAGCTGAGATTTCTTCTTGTGGACTATTTGCTGGAGGAGTCCTATGATAGAGGGAGAGCTGGGAAGCAGCTTTTGGGAATACTACTATTGTGAGGAGCAAAACAAAACCTTGTGCTTCTTCTGTTAAGTTTGGAAAACAACACATTGAATAGTAAACTTCAGAATTTAAAATCAGAGTTCACCAAAAATTAAGTTTCATTGCAAAATCTGCATAGTATGAGGCACTTAATTTCTTCTTTCACAAATTCTTTTGCAAATTGAGATGATTTTTTAGGTTTCCAGATAAGAACTAACTGTTCTAACTTGTTATTGTTTATTATTTAGCCAGCTTTCAGTGAGTTTCCTATGTATTGTTGCAAATTAACAATTTTCCCCTCTTAACTCCATAGGCTTAATTTAAAAAAAAGAAAGAATGGATGAAAAAAGCCTATGTCTGGTGGATTTATTTATTCTCAAGTGTGGAATTTTAACATCTGGTACTGATTTTGGTTGTGGTTTTCTTTCTTTTAAAAAGTGTATAATCTTTTGGACGTGGTTTGACACTTGCTCAGTATGAATGAGTCAGGAGAGCATGTGGCCAGAACACTGACGTGACATGGCCACAACTTTTGGGTGCTCTTGATGTTAAGTGTTAGCTAAAACTGCTGTTGTTCCTCTTCTCTCCCTAGTGTGGTTCCAATAACTGAAGCAAGTGTAATTATTGCAGTCTCCTCTCCACACAGAGCAGAATCCCTTGAAGCTGTAATGTACTGCATCAATACCCTAAAAGCATCCGTACCAATATGGAAAAAGGTATGTTTGGGGTCTTTCCAAGTTTGAGCCCCCCTCCCACAATTTGCTTCAGTGTGAGAGGGTTTTCAGACAAAACAAAAATTTAATTTAGACCTATGCTAGTCTTAGACATCTGGGCTATCTAAGAAATGCTCCAGGGGGCAGTTGCTCCTCATGGCTTGTCAGTGTCTGGCAGCAGTGAGGTTCCTCTAATGCAGCCAAGCCCATATATGGCAGGTAGAACATCTGAAAGGCTGTTCTGTACCTCTACCATCCAGCAGCTTTTCCTTTTGAAGCCAGCCTGGGGTCAAAGTGAAAGAGGCCTGAGTTCTCCTCTTTTGAGTTGCAAAACTCAGTTCTTCACAGGCTTGTGGAAGAACTTTGAATCAGCTTTGCAGTTCGCAAGTAAAAGGAGCATTTCTTGTCTCTGTCTTTTCCCCTCATCCCTGTGGTCTTGAGAAAGCACAAAGCATTAAGCAACAGCACTCGGTGAAGGGATGAACAGAGATCCCAGAGTTGGTATGGGCACACAACACTGGAGAAATTAGCCCAGGTCCAGAAGGAGATTCATTGTGTAACCACAGTGTTGCATGCAAGTAATGAGCATTACCTCTGCCTTCTCTCCCAGGCAGAACTTGCCATGTGGTTAACAGTGATGTTCTCTTGAGTACTCTACTTTTCTGACACCTCTTTCAGCAGACAAGTAATCAGGGTGTAATCTCAGAGCCCTGATGAACTTTCTGTATAGGATTGGACTGCTGCTGGGTAGTCCAGTCTGTCCATCAGATCCAATACTACTGTATTTGGTGTATTGATGTAATATATTTTTTTTAATATTGACATTCTGTTACACATAAATACTCTTCTTAAAATGATGATACAGTAGGTACTACATGAGTGCTGTGTACTCTACAGCTTTTACATCGTATCTTCTAGATTTCTTTGTTGAACTTCAGTATAGACGGGCCCTTTTAAATTTAATGGGTATCAGCCCAAGGTTCAGCTAAGTTAGTATATTCTAAGGGTGCTGCCCTCTTTTCTGCTTGCCAGCCAAGTACTGTGTAGTCCTGTTGCAATCAGTAAATAATAGTGGGGTGGCTGTTGAGTTATTTGGCCTGGCCTGTGGCTGTATGTAGCAGAGTCTCACAATATTGCCCATTCTTTGTTTATATTTGCAGGAGATTTATGAGGATGAATATTCTTGGAAAGAAAACAAGGAATGCTTTTGGGCAAATTCAGAAAAATAACTGTACTCTTTTAAAAATAAAGTGTTACTCTTCCAAATGAGCATATTTACCTTTGAATTGTTTTTACAGAGAATCTATGTGTTTCTAAACAGTTATAATAGATGTTTCAATCTGAATAATTTAATTTGGACTGAGTGATAAGAATGAGTATTAATTAGGGTTTTAAAGCGTTCTTGACTATCCTTTGAAAGCACCCTTTTGTACATTCTAACATGGAGGCAGTTTTTAAAACAATCTTCCCTAAAATTCTTGGTAGCAAGGTATTTAGACTGCTCTGTGATATATAATGCTCTAATGTTTTGACGTTGGTAGTCTGTGTTCTCTGTCTGCATGGGAGGTCACCGCAGGACAATTGCATTTTTTTTTAATCTTAAAAAAGTCCAGACAGGTTTAATTTTATGACTGTAGAATCACTTTGCAAGCTTTATGCTATTTTGATATTCTTGTAACATGAAAGCTACTTGAAGTAGATGAAATATTTTGGTCCAGATGAAGAAAATACAAACTATGCCCTAGAGTTATTAACTTTTTAGTAATGGTTATGTTCCAGTAGCTGTGTCTCACAGAAACATTTTTACTGTGCAGCTGATACTATAAGTCTATTGCATTAAAAAAAATATGGACAGACTTTTATTCAAAGTTAGATCTAATACTCTACCAGCAACAAAGTTGCATTAGCAATAACATGCCAACCTGTAACTACTTAATGATGTCTAGACATAATTAATTTTGAAGGTGATTCTTGGCTCAATATGACCTGGCACCGTGCACTTGCAGCCTAGAAAGCCAACTGTGTCCTGGGCTGCATCCAAAGCAGGGTGGTCAGCAGGTCACAGGAGTTATTCTGCCCCTCTACTCTGCTCTGATGAGATACCACATGGATTACTGCATCCATTTCTGGAATCCCCAACAAAAGAAGGATGTGGACCTGTTGGAATGCATCCAGAGGACGTCCACTAAGTTGATCAGAGAATTGGAGCACCTCTCCTACAAAGACTGGCTGAGAACCGGAGTTGTTCAGTTTGGAGAAGGCTCCAGGGAGACTGTAATTACAGCACCTTCCAGTATCAAAAGGGGGCTTAAAAGAAGGTTGGAATGGGACTTTTCACAAGGGCATGTAGTGATAGGACAAGGGGCCCTAAGCTGAAGTGAGGGTAACTTTAGATATAAGGAGGAAATTCTTTACTGTGAACCTGGTGAGGCAGAGAAGTTGTGGATGCCCCATGGCTGGAAGCGTTCAAAGCCAGGTCAGATGGGGCTCTGAATAACCTGGTCTAGTGGAAATGTCTCTGCCCATGGCAGGAGGGTTGGAACTGGATGATCTGTAAGGTTCCCTTCCAACCCAAAGCATTCTATGACCATTATATCACAGACTACTGAAGCCTCAGCTCTATAATCCATTTCATTGTGTCTGCAGTAAAAATCTACAGCAGCTGCTAGTTGTACAAAGTAAAATGAGGAAAGCAGGTGATGATCGTTTTTTCCTTGGGGATTTCAATCACTTTTAATACTTAGTTACTATATCTAAATTAAGTAAACCATAATGAAACATACAGCTTCAGGCAGAAATGTGGTTAAACTCTGCTTATGAACTTACTGATGCAGTTTCCTCAGTGGAAGTGAGTTGATCCTCTGCCGGACAGCAGCTACTCCTTGCATGCGTACATATACACACCCTACAAACCATGTGGGCCCTATAATCTAGGCAGAGCTAAGCAAGTTCGAGTTTTCCTTTGTTTTGGAGGTTGGAGAGAAGCCCTCTGCTGTTTGAATGTCATTTTTACTGGCAATTGTACTGAATCTTGAGCACAGATCACTTCCTCTGTCAAATAATTCTTTTTCTCTTTAGAAGAGAAATACATACATGACCTTTTCCATTTCTGGTGTTCATTTTTCCATGTTCATGTTTGCCATTACCATGCAACTAATTAGTGTATTAATTTCACAAAAATAAATGTTTAGTTTGTCTTTCAGTGGATGGTTTATGAATGAAGTAAAACCTATGTAGTGCTTGCATACTGGTGCTGTGCTCAGATAAACAGAAATAGTTAAGTTCTACTTAGGACCCCATGATCAGGGGCAATTCTTGTGTTGCCCTAGTGCCTCTCTAGTGCTGCGGTGTCCTGGAAGATTTCTCCACGGTGACCTTAAGTGCACCTTCCCCCATCAGCAATGCAGCTGTGAAGGAGGGTGCAGAAAAAAAAGAGAGAATAATTGTGTACTTCCCCACAGTGACCAGGAACAATGAATGGAAGAGATGTTGTACTGAGTCACAGCTGAGTGTTACAATGTGTGTATGCTGCCTTGGTAAAAACAATGAAATGTCATTTTGTGTCCCTAGCTGTGCATGAGGCAAGTACTGCTTTGTTCTGGAACAATGATGTATCGATCTTGTGTAACTTTGGGTTCTTCAGCTGGCATCTCAAAGCGAAATGGAAATGCCTCTAGGAGGGATGTTGTGCATAATTAGAGGTAAAATGTATCTTGCTGAAATTTAAGTCCATACTCCAAACTCTGTGTTCTGTCTCCCTCTGTAGGGCTACCCTTTCTGCTAGGGCAGATCATTGTGTTCTAAGGTAGCTGCCTCAGGCTATATTTGGAGTGACCCAGAAGTGTTTCCAAATTTCCAGGCCAGGGGATGAATCCCAGCTGTGTCACAGTGTGTGTTAGGGAAAGATGTGGCTCTGCACATGTCCCAGTATCCATACATGCAGGACTACACTGCTGGGTGAAGACTACTTTGTCTTCTGGGGAGGTCCACTGAGTGGGATGATAGGCAGCTGCAGATAAATATACAAGGAAATATACAGCTTTCTGAAACGAGTCCAAGCATTTCTCTGCCTTGTCTGTAGGGGAGGGTAATCCCACCCCTTTGTGGCTCTACCAGGTGTGTCACATTCGTGGCTCTGGTGCAGAGAGATGTTCCCAGGAGCAAATGCTGCAGACCAGTGGGTCATCATGTGATTCTTGTAGAAATCTGCTAGATGAGGGCTGTCTGTGGAAGGGAAGTGCATGTCTTCAGAGCATGAATTTCTCCTCAGAAGATGCCTTCGTCTTGGCTGGCAACATTTGAATATACTGATCCATCCCTTTGTGTGGCCAAACATCCATATACCAGCATTCCTTAATTTTAGGAGTTTCCTTTCCTGATTTTGATCATTCTGCTCTGTTCTCAGGAGAAGCTTGGCCTCATGCATAAGATGAAAACAGTAAGAGATGGATTGCCATGAAATAGCCAGGTGGGGGAAGGGGGCTGTGTTATAAGGCGCCTACCCAGGAGATGGCAGCCGAGAGATGGCTGAGTGGGTAGAGCGGGTCCTGGCCTGCACAGGTGCTGGCTGTGCTGGGAAGTACAGGCCCTTGCTTTGGCTGTCATTCACGAAAGTGCCATTGTTGCACTCAGGAATGAAGCCTTTAGATTGTTCAACTTTAAACTAGATTTTTTTTGTCCTTTCAGCTCACTTTTCCCACAGCTGTTAAAGTAATTTGTAGCTTCACAGACTAGCACATTCATTTGCTCCTTCAAAAACATTAAAAGGAAAGAACTGTTAAACCTAATTATTAACAAATTGTCTGTAAAAGCAGACAGTGCTGCCCTTTGCCCCCTAAAATGCTCTGAAAAACTCAGTCTTGAGCCCTTCCATTAAGTGTCCTGTGGAGGTAGTGGAAGAGTTCAGAATAGGCTGATGACTATAAATGACCAATTTCTTTGATTACCCTAGGCCTGTTTTCTGAAAAACAACCAAATCATAAAATTGATCTTATCAAGTGTTACAAAAATTAGTATCCTGATGTATCTTTATAGCAGTTCTCTTTTAAATGTTCCATTTCAACTATTTTAAGTGGCCAATACATTTTAAAAACTGCTAGCGTACCAAAGCCTGTGATCACATACAAATAATTCACCATAAATGAGAACAGAAAGGTGACTTAAAAGATAGGACCCAAGTTTTCTGAGGCAATGAAAATGTACACTTAATTACCTTTAAAGGCAATTAAATGTTGAGGCAGTTAACTATATATTTCAAGATGCATTTTCATACCTTCATTTTCTTTAGTCTGTAACTTGCAAGCTTTTGTTGTAACCCAGTTTTGGATGTAAAGTGTAAAATACCCTGTGCTTTGCCCCCAGTCAGCAACCCAACCCCACCCAGCCACTCGCTCACTCTGCTCCTCATGGGATGGGGTAGAGAACAGAAAGAGTAAAAGAGAAATCTTGTGGGTTGAGATAAAGACAGTTTAATAGGGAAAGTAAAAACCACTCATGCAAGTAAAGCAAAACAAGGAATTGATTCACCACTTCCCATCGGCAGGCAAGTTCAGCCATCCCCATGAAAGCAGAGCTCTATCATGTGTAACCATGGCTTGGGAAGACAAATGCCATCATTCTGAACACACACCCCCCTCCTTCTCCTTCCCCCAGCTTTATATGCTGAGCATGACACCATATGGAATGGGATGGGATATCCCCGTGTCCCCTCTCAACTTCTTGTGCAGCCCCAGCCTCCTGTGGGTGGGATGAGGAGCAGAATAGGCCTTGGCCCTGTGTCAGCACTGCTCAGTGATAGCTAAAACATCTCTGTGTTATCAGTACTGTTTCCAGCACAAATGCAAAACACAGCCTCATACCAGCTACTGCCAAGAAAACTAACTCTACCTCAGTCAATACCAGCACATACATAAGCCAGTATTTAAGGAATCTGGCTTTTAATTCTGAAAAAACACCGAAACTTGGTGAAGTACAGAGTTTTGTGCCTTGAGATAAGGTTTGTCTGGTATTGTATTATGGAAGTGTTAAAGTTGGTAGCCTACCTGAATGTCTATGTACTGTTGTTAAAAGTACGGAGGAGTTGAAAGTGGAAATAAAAAACTTTGAAAGAGGGTAGTTTTTAGGTGGTACTTACTGACAGTACTATCTTCTTTCTATTAATAGCCAAGTTCTCTTCCTTTGCCACATTGTGTCTGCTGAAATGTTGAATTCAGCTCTTCCAATGTATGGTGGAGAGTGGCCAGAGCCAGCCATGACATGCTACTGATGACCAGTTCTGTAAATAGCAAAAAGTGCAAATCCTACCAGTATGTGATACCATTTCAGATGCCAGTGATGATAACCTCATGTTTATAGGAAGGCCTGTCTGTGGTAATGTTTTAACACCATCTATTCAACTAGAGCTTTTCAAATATTTTACACTAATTTGAGCTGACTTACACTACAATATAGTTTACTGATAGTGTTACACTCCTGACTATGATCTACAAGACTTCAAGTGCAGCTTCTCTGTATACCTAGCAGAGTCATCCCCTTTAGGATTCTCACTGTGTGCTACTTGAACAAAGACACACTCCGCTCCATTTTACGCAGTGCTTTTTTGAGTAGCATTGCTTCGCTTTAGGGTGCTATTTAAAAATAAATGAGTCTGTGTTCAGCAGCAGTCTTGGTTTTATTGGAGTAACGCTTTTAGGCCCTCAGAGAGGCACCATAGTGATACAGTCCCTGCTCCCATAGAGCTTACATGCTAGCTTTTAGAAGTCAACATTATTATAAACTCTCTTGTATATCTCAAATTTATACATAGGCTCATATGAAACCAGCTCTGATTTTGGACTTGATTCTAGTACTTCAAGAAATCAGCAGCTAGATTTCAAGACCAGAATCAGACGTAACTTGAGTTTGCTGAACGTATCGCTGACTTTTCTTGTTGCAAGCACATGCTGAAGCTCAAAATTTCAGAATATTTAAAACATGCTGTTTTAAAAAAGTAAACTTAAAAAAAAACCAAACCCTTGCACACACAATACAAGATATACATAATATTTCCAGTATTATTTGCGGCTGTGCCAACTTAAAAGTGCAATAGACTCACCATTACAAAAACTGAATTAGCCACTGAAGTATTAATTATAAAAAGAAAATAAACTAGTAACTTGAAGTGGTTAGGATACAAAAACCTTACCCATTGCTATGCCTCCCCTTTTTTTTTGGAAAAAAACTATTGTGTCCAGGCTGGGGGGAAGATCCTGTTGTCCGGGTCAAAATAAAACCCAGTGAAAACTAGTGAATTAAATCATTGCTAGCCGGTTGATAAACTGTTAAATCCCCAAAGAAGTTGCATGTCAGATATTGACCTGTACCTCCTACCAAAGGCGGAAGAAGGAAATCTGACTGAATGCCTGAATTTCCCTTGCAGGCAGCACCAGAAATGAAACATTCTGCTATCTGGTGCATTGTGAAATTCCCCCTCTGCCCTGAAGTGCCTGACCCTGATTATGTAGGAGCTTCCCACATGTACAGGTGTAGAGTTTGTTTTCTTCTGCACAAGTTTACACAAGAACTGAGGCAGACAAATTTTTTTCTTTACTTTCTGAGCATTTGCCCTCAAGCTTTATAATTATAAGTCAGGAGCATATTCTTTAGATTTATGTAATTGCTAATTTTTTTCTTTTTTTTTTACTTTTTAAATAATTGTTTTGGTCACAGACTCAGCTGATGGCAAGAATCTTGTTTGACAATCGAGATCAGAATCTGGATAGTTTTTCAGAATGTTAAAAAAAAAATACCACAAAATGTAACATTTCATAGATACAAAATAAACCCAAAACACATATAAAACTACACTGAGCACAATCCAGCTGTTGCTGCAAATGAAGCATCTCTTTTCTTGTTTGCCAAAGACATGGTTGGCTTCTGACTGATTACTGATTAAAAAAGACCGAGTAAAACTTTCAAATGTGCTCAAGCCTATAGTCCCTCAGAAAATAATTGAAAGGTGCCTAAGCATAATTACAGTCCATCCTTGGGGAAAAGAAAACATGACTTCGGGTCAGATCAGGCACATTTGAATGTTTTACTCCTGTTCAAGTAAATCATCTCGAGTTGGAAACACATCTCACTTGCATGGCAGCATACACAAAGGAAAACAAATCTCTCACAAGCAATTAAAAGTGTAACTGCCAGCCATGAGAGAGAAAGACAGCCAAAAGGCCAATTCCTCTGACTGTTTCCAGTCTTACAGCACGGGCCTTTCTAAGACAGACTGAGCTTTCATTAAAACCAGGCAGCATAACAGCATGTGATAAACTTGAGGTGTGTAACCAACACAAAGTCACCCAAGTATTGTGCTTAGAGCTCCTACCAGAGCACTACAGTACTTTGCTGTATAAAACATAAGTTAACTTCAGCAAGACATGAACAGGTGGGACCAAATGTGACAGGTAAGGAGGTTGTACTGAACTTTGGTCTCCTGGAGGGCACTGAGATGCTAAAGAAGTTAAGTGCAGTAAACATTTTACAGACCTTAGATCTTCATTATCCCCTTTTGTAACATGCATAATTCCTCAGTCATCTATCCCCTTTAGTTAACCTTTTGCTCCTAGTCTTGCAAAATCTTTCAGTACAGAATTAAAGGCAAGATCTTGACTGTCTTCCTTATTTCTGTCAAAAGCCAAACTGGTGTCAGAGGGACTGAGAGCGTGAAGCCCAGCCTAATAGAAGTGGTAGAGCTTCTCAAGATGAAATCTGAAAACCAGTAATAATATTGCAAAGAACATGCTGTAAGTGATTATGAAATTCATATTTTCTTCTCAGACAGAAAGTATGCAGAAGGCAGTTATACATACCATTTGGCAATATTTCCCCAAAACAATATCCTTCAGTAATTTAGCTGTGACCTTAGTGCAAGAAATATGGTGAACTTTTGGAGCACTTTGCTCAACCAATTGTCCTGTAGCACCCAGACAGACATATTCATACACAGTTCCCAGTTTGTAGATTAGTTAAGACAAAGGTTTGCTGGTGGAAATTATTTTTCTAAAACAATAAGGATGGAGCTAGTCAATGAAAAAATAAGTTTTCTTCTCCCAGTCTGGAAGCAGCATTCACCACACATTCATCATCAAGTTAATAAAAAATGTCCTTTACACATATGGTACTTGTCAACTGAATTACGAACTGATGCTGTTCCACAATAATCTGAAATAAATTGTTCTGTTTTACTCTGCAGTGGATCAAGGGAAGGGCTGCTGGCACAGTATGTTACTGTATACTCCGGACCTGCCAGTTCTAAGGGCTGAGTTTGTTTGAAAGGCAAAAATTGACTAGAAAAGGCACTATAAATCATTTTTGAAAAAACCAAACTGTCCTGCAGTTACTCTTATAATAGAGTAGAATCTGTAAAATATTTTCATCTATAAACACACTTTCATTAAAAATGTTTAAATGTTACTAAGCTTTAAGGCACTCCAGCTGAAGAACCGACTGGATCGCAACTACTGTTGGTGGCTCAGATCTCCTCTTTATCCATATAACTCGTCTTCTTCAGTCTTTGTCCTTTGTGAGTTCTGCAATTTCATCGACATCTTCTATATCCTGTGTCATTTTCTCATACTGTCTCTTGAAGAAGCCAAGCTGTGAGAAGTATTAAAATAACAGCACACTGAGTCAGTTGTTGATAGTTCATTTCTTAACTAAGCTAAATACTGTGATGGTAGAAGTGCACGTGTGCATGCACAAACTATTGAGTTTGATTTGTAGAAAATTCTTGCCTCTAAAATGAAAGATCTGGGCCCTAAACTCCTGCCTGGTGCAACTAAATACCAGAACAGCAGTGCTGATTAGCCATTTGTCTCCCTGACTCTCCATGCTGCCTTGGTGTGTCAAGGAGCCCTTCAAACACCAATGCACACAGAACTCCCCTTTATCTAGGCATCCTTTGTAAATGACTTTTTGCCCTTGCTTTTTCTCTGTTCTTTTGTCTGTTTAGATACATCCTCTCCCTCCTTGCTTCTAATCCCCAGCCTTGTCCACTGGGAATATCATGGGCATTCAGAGCTCAGCTAGGGTATTACGGAAGGAGGCAGACAGTGTCAAAAGGAAAAAAGTAAATACCACAGCTCTTGTTTTGAACAACTGGCAACTCATTTATCATCTTCATTGTGCCAGTTTCTATAAGAACTCATTTCACAAACCATTCTAAAATACATCAAGGGTGTAATGCCAATGCAGTATTATTCACGCCACCAAACTGCATAAGCAGTTTTGTCCCACACCAGAGAGATTCCAGAGAAAATAGCCCAATGTATTTATCCCTTTCTGTTTTTAAGAATATAAACTTACTTTCCGCAAAACGGCAACCAATACTAACAGCAAGAGGAGTCCCGCCAATATACTGCCAATCACAACACCTACTGGTATCTCAGCTTTCTCATCTGGCTTCATTATTGTAACTGGGATCTGAAAACAGAGAGATTGTGTATTAAGGATTAATGTTAACTGCATATGAAGTAGGATTTGTAAACCAAAGATCAAGAATGGCTGGACTCAGACATTCCAGGGTCAATGACTAGAACACATCAAGCAATTACAGCCAGTTCACTAGTGTCTGTGGGTGCCTGGTTGCGCCACCATGGCACACAGCAGTGCCAGGTAAGGATTAGGGGCCCTCATCGTTCCTAGTGATACGTAACAGGCAGAGAACAACCTCCTCCTGCCTCTCCATTAACAGGAGGCCTTTCAGAGTTGTCCCCATAGTGCACAGACACACCATAATTGCATAAACCAGACATACCTACATGAAAGTGGGGAATAGCCTGGTGTACAGCACCATCTGCTCAAAAACAGACCTCTCTTGTGTCAGCTGGAGAAGAACTACTTTTCAACAAGCATTGTCAGAGCCCATTATCTGTGGTGGGCACCTGTAGGAGGCAATACTAATCACTGAGGTTGGACACCATCGTGCACTCGCTGCATCTGCTGAAACTTCAACCCTCTTGCTGGACAGGTACTTCCTTTCCCTGTTCTTCCCACCTCCTGTGAAACCACTAACAACTTGGTAGATCTCATGTTAATCTGTGTTCTTCTGAGTCAACTGAATGAATCT